AAACATGGTATCGGATGATGTGCTCCACATGGCGTGGGTATCGCCCATGTGAAAAGATGATAACGAACAAGAAGTACTCCATGTAACACTGTTAGTGTCCACATGCATACGGTAGCATGATTATTAGATGTCCAGCGAAAGCACAGCAGCAGAAGCAAAGCCGTGAGTCACGATACCCGTAAGGGAGCTTATTAAGGGGTAAGTAATCCTCTTACGGGAGGTAGTAAGAATGGTACAACAGAGTTATAACGGGAATTATAACAAATGACGATTTAGAACTTCATAATAGTAGTTGTTGAGAGCTTTTGACGCACCTCGTGCACCCAAGACGCTGGAGGTAAACTGAAAAGCTCTTCGAAGTTTGAAGCTGGAGCAGGATTATAAGAGATGTCGAGCGAGTAGGGCGTACTCGTGAGGGGAGAGCTGTCCACAGCAGTTTCACAACGGGATGATGACCCGAAACTGCTACATGTATATCCACTAGGAAGACCTGAAAAGCAAATATGTGCTCGCGAATCTTGCAGCCGTTTTGTGTCCTTACCGCCCACCGTTGCATTCAAGTCGAAGGGGAGGAAGATGGTTGGTTCGGAAGCGGGCGCCTTGTGGCGAGCTGTGCTGCTTTTGACGTTCGATGAACGACCTTTGCTGCCTTTCGGCCCACCACGTGTTGGTTTTGAGATGATATGCGGGTTGGCCAGATGACGATGCTTATAGCAGTATCCGAGGAGGCCTCGGGCAGCGACATGGCAACCTTGATAGCGACAAGGTCTACCACCACCATGACGGGTGCAGAATCTAATAGAGAGCAATCAACCAGGAAGGAGTAGAACACTATACCTGGCTTTCTCGTGAGAGGCGCCTTTTCTCGATAGTCTATGGCATCCAACAACCTCGCAAATAGCATGCCCGCGAGACCCTATAATAGAAGTTACATATGTTGATAAGCTGGATAGGACTCACTCCTCTGAGGAGAAGACGACATAGCAGCAGCCAACGTTACGATGGGCTCCTGTCTTTGAACGGGTGTGGCAACATTGTTGGCCTCTAGGGGGTTTTCAATGTTGGAAGGCTCGTCAATGTCCATGCAGGGGAAGAGGGAGATGGAAGACATGAAAAGTTCGAGTTCCGACCTACACGTAGGGTCTTGAATCAGCAATATGTCTCTTTACGGGGCTCCTCACGTCAGTGTCACGCCTTTTCGCCAGCGCCCATGCACGCATGCCCATGCTATGCGCATGCGTGTCACCATAACGAACTCCGAGTCCGGGAGTAGCACTCATAGGGTATATTTCACTAACGGGTAGTGACTAACCCCTTGAGATTGGCGAATCTTAAAGTTACAAACCTAACCAAACAAGCTTGAAAAGCTCCGTTTCACTGGTCCCTCAGCCTTAAGAGTAAGGGGACTGCCCTTAAGAATGATATTTAGTAAGAACTAAGCGATTCCTTAAGAACTCACGGGAAACTTGACCAGTTGTTCGTTAATTGCAACCCCAGCCAAAATAAGAAAAAAAGACATAACCTCTCCAGGAATCATACTCAGGAGAATTGGGGCGCGCGCTTATTGACTTCGGCGGAGCGTAGTGATGTAAGTTTTGAAATTTCGCGAGTCAAGGCCGCGGTAATTCCGCAGATTTGGTCGGATCTCAGCCCTCCTCTCAACATCAGAACCTCATCGGAATACGTGAAGGGTGACTCGGGAAGCTATGAAGCATACAAAGACAAAAGCTCGCTGAGAGCATCACAAGGGAAAGCTGTTCTTCATTATACTCCTTTCGAAGTGACTTATCATGCCTGTGTAAAACGCATATGCTGTCATTTGTTCGTGCCGGGTAGACATGAGCATTTTCTGGAAGTGGCACTATTTAGGATTGGGTCTATAGGCACCAGGAAGGGGTTTACGGTAGTGGTTAGGAGTTAGATGCTCGAGTTGATGCTACCTGTGTTTAGAGTGTAGTTGTCCTCCCTGTGAACTAGGATAGCGCTAGTGGTCTACATAGTTGGAAAGTGTTGGTAGCCTATAACGAATCAATATCTTCTAGTAGTGTGGGAAACGCAAAAAAAATTGTAATTTTCTCGGGGGTTTTACTGTTCCTGCTTTTGAGACTGACCCTTTGTCTGAAAAGGTATTTTCGTGTTAGTTACCTCGCCACGTGATAAGCTGTGATAAGATTACACGATGGAATCGACCTCCTTATGGGCCTCCTCTAGATTCATAGGATTAGCCCGATACTGTAACGTGGTTAAATACTTGGGCGGCGAGGCCAGCAACCAGGAGCTCTAGGATTAGCGGATGGAGTGGTATGAACGGATTCCGCACGCATGCACAAGGGGATACCGTACGTAGTTGAGTACTTCTAGCAGGACCATGGTCTCGCCATTGCACGACCAGTAGCTCTGCGATTAGCGGCTGGAGTGGTATGGATGAATTCCGCACGAGATTGGCATGCAGTGGTAGATTTCATCCCACCTATTTCGAGTTGGGTTTCCAGGGTGCATGAAGTTGAAAATAATTGTTTTAGTTTTTACTCTTTCCCTTCGCTGCTTCCAAACACGGTAGTGGTGGCGACTAGCGGTTGATACACTTGACAGTTTCCGAGTTGGCAAATATAAAACCCGGAGATCTATACAGCTACTTGTTCTGAGATGCGCGTTAGACAAT